ATAATGATAATACGTAGTATAAGTTTATGTGCGTAAGTAATCAAAGAGAGATTTCATAAATTACTTCGTATATAAACAATTAAACATACTCACGTTTACAATTGGAGAGATGTTTATGTGGAAGGGTTAGAACTCCTCTACCCTAATCTCCCTTTTCCCTTTATAAGCAAACGTTTATAAACAAAAACAAACGCACAAGCAATCAACCGTAAAGAGCAATTGAATAGTTAATTTAATAAAATACCTGGAAAGAGATGATTGATAAAAATTTCTCTTCTAGATTATACCTACGTTGCAATCTTCATCGTGCATGTCTGATCTTACTGGTGCAATAACAACTGCTCCGTATTAATTCCAACGAGAAATAGGTGTACGTGGCGATTTCATGAGATTTCATAGGACGGTCCCGTAGAGAAAAAGGGAAAAACAATCTGGTGGTTGTGAGCTTTGCCGGTTTTGATCCTCTTTTTTTTTCATCCGGTTGTGCGGCTGAAATGATAATATTTCTGTGTAGTGTTGATTTCCGTCACCGTGTACATAGCGGCGGCCGGCGAACGAAAAACAAAGGTAGCCGAGATGGCAGAAAACAACTTTAGGATTTTTGGAGCAAGTCGTGCTGATAACGTGTAATAAACCAGATCAAAAGCATACTTTCATTCATATATGGGGATGTATATATAGGAGGGGAGCTAGAGTTACAATCCTCAGATGGGCCTGTACATATGAGCTCAGGCTATAAACTAATGGACATCCATAATACATAACATAGGTTACTTAATTGGCTGGCGAGGTAATTCTATTCACAGCCTTCATATTACTAATCACAGCCCAAAATTAAAAATTAATAAATAAATAAAAACGGAACACCTAAATTACCCCTGTGACACTCAAAATCTATGCATTAGCGCAATCAACAAAAAAGACTCCTAAATCAAGCTGCACGAAGAAGCTCCCAGCACCTACAAGTCTGTATCACTGTGACCTGCAGATATGGCTCTCTGCCGCCTCTCCCTAGTCCCTCCCATGTATATGTATACTCTACGCATTTTTTTACGAAGCAAAGCTGCAATTATTCATTAAGAAAAATAAAGATGTATGGAGTAAATAGTAATTATTTCTAAGCAATTAAGCAAAGCAGCGTTGAAAAGCAGCATAGCAGTGATGAATGGCAGGTGTAGCTAGCCCACGCTGCTCTGTCTTAGCCTCCTAGATCAAGATCGAATCGTGATGTTTCAAACGGTCATTGAATTGCATCGTCGGAGGTTAAATCACCAATTTCATACCAAAATTTCAGACCTTATCTTGCTGGCTTGAGGAGTAATGGGATATGAATCTTCCTCTTCTGGAAATTTGAGAGATTATCTTGTTTGTGTCTAGCTTGGGCAATTTCAGAATGACAACTCGACCGATATATTATTAGGGGCATAGTTGGAATTAAAATTTAGTACGGACGTAAGTGTGTGTAGTTAGTAAAAAGTGGAGTGTAAATAGAATTACCCGCTGGCGAAATATATTTGTACAAGGTATTAAGATATTATCGTGATTATGGGCTATTGGGCTCTAGCATCTAATTAGTTAATCATGCCGAATAAATGACTTATGAGCCATCTATATACACAAGTAAACTAAAAAACAAAATGCTATACAAAAGATAATGAGCATTCTTTACAAAACATAAACAAGAACTTGTTGAATTAGCCAGTACAAATTTAAATATATTTGTACTGACTGGAATTGAACCAGAGTGCGGAATTCACTGCTTGAGGTGGTTTCCTGCGGAATTCTTTATGATTTTTTTGAGCATGTTCTCCATCAAGTTTAGATTATGCACACCGAATTTTGGCTACAATTTCAATCGGGAAGTCAGTCAAATGTGGAATTGAAAACAACTGCGTTGTTTATATATATAGTGCGCAATATGTTTTAATAATTTATTTAACTGTCTTCTCGATTGAATTTTTAGTTGAAATTTGGTGTGCATAAATTAGACTCGATGAAGAATATATATGGTCAAAAACTTCTATCAAAAAATTCTACCGAGAATCACTCGAAACAATAAATTTCGCACGACCTTGTCATAATTAGTTAATCATTCCGAATAAATGACTTATGAAATATGAAGGTCATAAAAACTGCACAATTATGATCATATACAAATATGGATACGTCCATAAGATCCATACCGAAAATATAGAGCTTGCGTAGATTTATGTGGAAATAGTATTAAATATATGTGCATACACGAACTTATCAAGACGATTTTAAAAAAGAAATTTTAAAAACTAATTTTTAGTGTAAATACAAAATATATTCATAATACTTTTTGTTTTTTATTCATGTATAGTTACCATTTCTTCTTCTTCTCAATTTTTATACTCCCTCCGTTCTTTAATATGAGTCTCTTAGGCTTTGGCACGGGTTTTAATAAAAAAATAGTAGGGGTAAAGTAAAAAGTGTAGTAGAAGTAATTAAATGGAAAAGTAGGAAAGAGAATGAATTAATAGATGAAATTAAGTATGTGGGGGAGGAAAGGAAAGAGAAAAACAATGATAATCCAAGGAAAGAGAGGATGACTTTTCCCTCTTTCCATGCGTACACCTTTTTCCAGGGCCCTACTGCCCTTTCCAGTTGCCGCCCAAACAAAGGAGGAGATGACATTTCCCTCCAAATCAAACCCTACAAGACCCACTATAAATAGAAGTGCCTATCTATTTTTACACTTGTATCCTAAAAATAGCAAAACAACAAATGCAATCAGCTTTTCTGCACATCTGAGCTAGCAAATGAACGAAGAAACAGCACCCAGTCCGCACACTTTTTCCAGCAGATCTACTCTTCACATGAGTGCAGCAACTTCAGATTGTATTCCTCCAGAAGAGATGCTACTGATTGAGCTGGGGCTTGCAGCTGAAGAATATGAAGCTGATGCTGATTTTGAAGATGAGCCCCCATATGTTGAGAACACAGAACCAAACACACAACATTTTGAAGGTAATGTACCTGAAATAAAAACCACATCAAAGCCCATGACAAAAAGAAGGCTAATAGCAGAAGAATTGTTATCAAAGGCAAGTAAAAATTCAGAGACTAAACTGTTGAGTTGTAAGAGAGGAGTAATGAAAGAAGTTGCGAGTACTCACAATGTTTGCACTAAAACAGTCTGTAGAATCTGGGCATCAACAAAAAAACAAGTTGAGCAAGGTTTGGAAATTAACACAGAAGGAAGAAAAAAAGGCAACTGTGGTAGGAAAAGTATACCAATTGACATTGAACACATACGTGCCATTCCTAAGAGCAAGAGGACCACCATGAGAAGCTTGGCAGCTTGTCTTGGGGTTAGTGTTTCCAAAATCCACAAGTTACTAAGTATAGGTGTTATAAGATCACATTCAAATGCAATTAAACCTGCTTTGAATGACAAGAACAAACTGGACAGAATGAAGTGGGCAATGTGTCACATAATTCCAAGAAGCATCACTCAACCACCACAGTTCACAAGTATGTTCAATGTCATACGTGTGGATGAGAAGTGGTTCTTTATGAGCCAAGTAACTCAAAGATACTGCCTTTTACCCTCAGAGGAGGACCCTCATAGAAGCTGTCAAAGTAAAAGATTTATCGACAAGGTCATGTTTTTTGCAGCCATTGCTAGACCATGGATCCATGATGATGGATCAATTATATGGGATGGGAAAATTGGAATTTTCCCTTTCACAGAATTAGTGCCAGCAAAGAGAAAGAGCAAAAACAGAAGTGCAGGGACACTTGAAATTAAGGCAACCACATCTGTCACGAAGGAAGTCATCAGAAATGCATTTCTTACACTATTGGTTCCAGCAATAAAAGAAAAATGGTCCCCCAATGCATGTAAAACTATATGGATACAACAAGACAATGCAAGGCCTCACATAGGTTTGGATGATGCAGCATTTAAGGTTGCAGGTACAATGGATGGGTGGGATATGAAATTGGTCTGTCAGCCTACAAATTCCCCTGATCTAAATATTTTAGATCTAGGGTTTTTTAGAGCTATTCAATCAATTCAGTACCAGAAAAGTCCAAAGACACTCCAACAATTGTTAACAGCAGTACAAGAAGCATATGCAGAATATGGAGCACATAAGGTAAATCACAATTGGCTTCAATTACAAGGTGTCATGGTTGAGATTTTGAAATGCAAAGGAGGCAACAACTACAAAAGCCCTCACATGGGAAAACAGAGATTGGAAAAACAGGGGCTTCTACCAAGTAATTTGGAAGTAAATGATGACTTGCTTTCAGAAACAGTTGCTCATTTGAATGGTGCATTGGAGGACAATGAGACAATGACCAGTTAATGCTCAGTTCATGTTTGAAGTCATAAACTCCCCACCCTAGGTATGTAAATTAATGTAGTCCCTATAATGCATTGCAAGGTCAGTTAACTGATGTAGTGAATGAACTACAAAGTTTTGAGTTTTGCCCATTTCAGTTAATGTACACTGCAGTGTAAACTTCATGCTTTTGCCCATTCTAAGGTAATGAAATGCATTTGGCTTTTCATCATTTGACTTCCTTGTTTAGTTTCTCAGATATACTTGACATATTGTGTATCATCATTGAAAAACTCACTTCTTCTCATAGAAATGAGAGAGCATATTTACAAATCAGAGAGCATACACTGATACCAGAGACACCACAATGATTTCTTAACAATGTGTAGTATCATACAAATCACAGAGTATCATTTGAAATCAGACAGACATCTATGATTTCTCAAAAACATAAGTTATCATAAAATGAGAGAGCATACACTTGATTCAGATACACAACTATGATTTCTCAATAATTAATTGTTATCATAGAAATCATAGAGCATACACAATCAGAGACACAACAATCATTTATCAAAAATCTTTGTGTTATCATAGAAATCATAGAGGATAATCTGACATCATAGACACACCAATGAATTTTCTAAAAGCTTTGTTATCATAGAAATCAGAGAGCATCCAGTGACATTAGGCACACAACAATGAATTTTCATACACGTTTGGTATCATAGAAATCACACAACAAACACTGAATCCAGAGACACAACAATGATTTCTCACATTAAAAGGCAACAAAGGGAGGGTACGAATAACCCAGTCGTGAACAACATTAAAAGGCAGCAATGGGAGGGTCCAAAGTAGGCATGAAAACATGGGAGTACAACATTCCGAACAACAGAAATGAAATTAGATTACTTATCGGCAAGTGCATGTGCAGTATCAGCACTCAAACACCCTCAACGCTTCCACAATTCATCCCACCCTTTTAGATAATCAGATCCAACCTTCCTTTGAGGGAGTATTAGTTTCAGCATGGCCTCGCTGCCTTTCTGCGCGGCCTCAAGTTCAGACGCGGTTTGGTATGGAAGAACTGCCAGAGCCAACCTCGCGTTTCTCTCAATCCATTGCAGATCCGCCTTCTCCGCAGCTTCATTCTTCGCCAGATCTGACAAACGTTTGGTATCATCGAAACGTTGGACTGCCGTTTCAGGCACAAATGCGTCCGCATCGGATTGTTGGACCGGCGATTGAACCACACACACCCCGGAATTGGAACCTTGGTCCGGCGTATCAGCCACGTATGGTGCAGGAATTATCGTGTCACAGGGGAGATCCATCTGAGGTACTATGGTAGTGCAAGAAGACAGCGAAGGAAGGATGGTGGAAGGTGAAGAGGGTGGGATGTTTGTGGGAATATATGGTACGCGGTGGATGGGGAGTAATTAAGGTAGTGGGTGGAGAGTAATTAAGGTAGTGGGTGGGGGGATTAATTAGTTTAGGTGTAGGGGTAATAAGTGAGGGTAGAAGATGGGAGGGTATATTGGTATATTTAGAGTAAAAAGTTTCCTTAAATGGAAAGGAGGACAGATAAAAAAAAACGTCCCAAAAAGGAAAGAAGGACTTTTATTAAAGAACGGAGGGAGTATCTATTTTCTTATGAGATAATTACATATATATGATTAAAATAAATGTTATTTTAAAAAATGCAGCATCGTGAATGTAATGATTATATTATTGTAATAATTTAATTATAGTAGCTCATGTTCATTAATTATACTTAAGTAATTATTAGATACTATATTAACATATATATAATCATATTTTCGTAAAAGCTCTTTCCTAATTAGGACTTTTACTCATTTTTGCATTCACTTATTTACACATTTGTTTACAAATTCAACCTCATTCAATTATAAAATATGAACTTAATAAATTGATTAGAATGAAAATTCACTTTTACCGGTCCATTTAGTATTCATTTTTTTTTAAATTTATTAATTTTATTTAATAAAACCAAATTAGGTGTTATGTAAATATTAATTGCGAGTATTTGTTAATTAGTTAGTTAGTTAATTTCTTTATCTACCAATTTATTTTTCGGAACATTCTCACCAATTTATTTAGAAAAAATTTCAATAATATAGTTCATAGTGATGAACAAAAATATAATTTTTTTTATCATCAAAACAAACCACTAGACCACTTATATTAATATTTAATATCATTAGGAATCAGATCGTTACAACAAACTCAAAAAGACCAACCATGACAACAACTGTCCCTAACTAACTAGCACTATCAACCTTACGACTAAACTCAGAGTCGATCACCCCTAAAAGAACAATATGAATTGCTAACCACCAAGCGGGTATGACACAGTAATCACTGGCCATATAGATCTTTCTAATGACATAATATCTAATAGAATTGTCAATTATAATTGTAGACCTAAAACTAAAGACATCAACAAAACCCTACGTTGATTAGGGTTAGAGAGACATTAGAGCCTCTAAAAAAAGACAAAAATATAACTTAAAAAGCTTTTAATGATTATAATTATATTCTCAATTTACACAATGGTGACTATATGTAATTACTACTCTCTCAATCTCAAAATGATGATCCTGTGTCTCCTATTTGGACTGTCCCAAAATGATGATCTTGTTTCCCATTTGAGTAAGGAAATTAAAGTAGGTTATCATTTATACCCCTACTTTTTATGAACAATAAAAGTAAATGAATGAACAATGCAATAAAGTAAAGTTATATGAGTCATTCTATCCCACTTTTTTAATATTTGAACTCAAAAAAATAAGATCATCAATTTAGGATCAATTTATAGGGAGGGAATATTATCTGAATGTTTTTTTGAAAGTTTATCTAAATCGTTCTATGGCTTTTTATTAGAGATGTGTTGGTAAAAATCTCATTTATTTATGTCCCCGAATAGATAAAGTGATAAACACAAGATATCATCAAATTCAACGGGACAGTCCACAGCACACATTCGAGAGTTCTCCAGAACGTTCCATGCCATTCCACCGTCTTCTTAAAATCCCTTGCCATCATATCTCTGAGATCAGCAATTTTCACTCAATCAGAAACCCTCGTTCTTCCCTAACCCAAATCCGTCTTCATCACTGTGTGTGTTTGACCCCCAGCAAAAATGGCATCTGAAGCAGAGGACTCGGCGAACATGGAGTTCTCTTTCTTGTTACCTTTCCTATTGGACTTCCCAACCCCAGATCAGGTTCAGGAATACCTAACCAGCTCACCCGATTCTCCCGGCCGGATCATCCTCATCAACCCGGTGACCCGAGGGGTGTTGATAATAAATGCTGTACCGGGCGATTTGTTTAGTAAAGATGGGCATCCTCCGGCTTCAAAAGCTTCCATTGATGCTCTGCGAAGTGTTGAGGTCAGTGGAGAAGAAGGGGAGAAACCGGAGTGTGTGATATGCTTAGAGGAGCTGGCGATTGGTGGGGTCGCCAAGGAGATGCCATGTCAGCACAGATATCACAAGGACTGTATAGAGAAGTGGCTGGGGATCCATGGATCTTGCCCTGTTTGTAGGTATGAAATGCCTCCAGAGGTGGAGAAGAAGGAGAAGAACAGTGATGTAGTTAGGAGGGGAGGGGTAGTGGTGGGTTTCACCGTTAGTCATCGGATAGGCGGGGACGTTGGTAGATCTGTTCCCGATGAATCTGATGAAGAAGAAGAAGAAGCTTAGATACGATTTCTTCTGAATTCTTTACTTTTGCCCCCTTTTGAAATTTCATGTAAATAGCAGCAAAAGATGTTATTTTTCGTCGAGTTCAATGAATCCAATTCTTGGTTTATGATTCATTTATGTGGTCTCTATTGCATCAAAATTATTTTTAAAGTTTTCTTGAAATTTCTACTCTTATTATGTTTAGCATTGTATTTAATTAGTTATTAGTGGTTGGACAATAAAAATAGAAAAGCAATTTATTCATCTATCATACTTCTTCCATTCACAAGTTTGATCTTCTTTGTGAATGCACCATTTTAATTATTAATAATCTTATACACTTTAGGAAGTTTTTAAAGGAAAGAGACAGTATTTAATTGATTATTGTTCAAAATTATAAAAAAAATGGCATACGTATTGAGAATATATTTATATTTATTGTGAGACAAATTAATAATAGTATTCAAACTAAGTTTTTTATTTTGTACGAAGTAATAATATTAAGGTAAAATATGTAGTAAGAAATTTGGTATTCACCCTCCATATTTGCCCTATATTATACTTTGGGCTCCCATTTGAGGTGTTTTCCGAAATTGAGGTATAGAAGGGTTGAGATGAAATATTTCCCAAAACTGTTTTTATTTGTTTGGTTTCAGATTCTTTTTGTGTGAGAGCTGTTATTCTCTGATAACAACAAAAGGACAGAGCTTTTTCAAAGGGAATATACTTTGAAAAGAAAAGATTCATTCTGTAATCAGTTCATTTACACACATAGTTTTACAAACAGAACTCGCTGGTAAAAAGAACCAGCCGCTTCTTCATATATAGTTTCCAGACACCAGTTATAAGTTTATAACCATTTGCAGCTTTAATTAAGCATCAAAGCCGTTAACACACTTAACATTCAAATCAATAATCTCCATAAATCCCAACTTTTTGAACTTATCTTCATTATTACCAAAACTGGACTGGAATCTTTTATGGGATGATGGGTTTTCAACAAAATCATCAAAAGAAGCCATGCTTCTGTTCCTTTTCCTGCCACTATCATCATCATCATTATCAACTAACCCCTTTTGCTTCCTTGGATGCATTTCCATCAGTGAAAGTTCAACAGAATTATTGTATACCCCCTCATTGTCTTCCTTAATCCCAGCTGAGGTTTCAGATGATGTGAGGGAACTTTCAAGTGAACACCCCATGCCAGTTATGAGCTGTTCTTGTGTTTGGTATGTGCAGTTTGATAGAGAGCATCCAATTTCTGTCAATGTTGATAATGATGATAGCTCTGCTTGAACTGAAGGACTGTATCTGGACAGTGCTTCATGCGCTTTCTTCAAAACAGCCTGAAGATACTTCCCCTGAGATTCAATTCTCATCTGGAGTTGTCTCTGCACCTGAAATGTACATACACCTTATTTTAATATGATACACCCGGGCCAGAGCTCATTTCATGCAGAAACCGGCTTATGATGCTTATGTAGAAGTTGGTACAATGGATGAGAACTATCCGTATAGGTTATTTTAATAATATCCACAGTATATAATTTTTTTTAACTAAATATACTTGATGTTCCTAATATAATAGGAAGTACTCCGTACATAATAGGAATAGGAATATTCATAATAGCATACAGGTCAAATTGATGCTAAAAAGTTGAATCCAACTAATAATGTAATTTAACCTCTGATGTTATTGTTGGCATGAAACCTATTAAGACTTGGAATTTAATAAATTCCGAGTCTGTGTAACAGTTGTATACTAGAATTGTCAACCATATTCACTGTGTTGAAATCCAATATAATGGATAGTAAGTTTATGTAGGACAGGAGTCTAAACAATAGTAAACTGAATAATAGTAGGACTAGGAAAGAGAGAGTAACAATAGTGTCCACCTAAATGCATTAGTATGAGGTCTTTTAGAAAAAGGATGACACCCCATCCCTGAGGGCCCCCCAACACCGACCGGACGGCACGATGGGAGGATGTAAATTGGACTATAATCACAATCTGACAGATAGAGAGTGTGGCTCTTTCCCCGGTACTTACAGAGGCCCTATGCATTTTCAGCATAGTAACCTCTCATCGTAATTGCCGGGATTCGAACCCGAGACCTAACCCTTGTGGCACTCCCTCGCTACACCAGTAGTATGAGGTCTTTTAGGAGGTGCCAAAAAACAACTATGTGAGTTTGGTCCAAAGTGGATAATAGCATACTAATGCAAGAGTTAAGATGACACATGCAGTCCTTAAAATTACATACTACTCCCTCCGTCCTGTACAGTGGGATTGTGGTCTAGAAAGAAAAAGGTAAATGAAGGTTAGTCACACAAAACTTTCCAAAAAGGAAAATGAGAAGAATTTTTGGAGAGATCCAAAAAGGTAAATGGGAAGAATTTTAAAGGATATAGGAGTAGTTTTTTGTGTTTTTTCTTAATGTGGGACACTCATCAGTCTTTAATATTTTGGGATCATATGAGAAATGGGGTTTACCTGAATTTGTTCCTGTAGTTTTTTCTGCACTTCCATTTGCATCTCCAATGCTTGAGCTATCTTCATGCTTCTGAAACCATAAGAATCCTTTGTTAATAAGAAAAATATTTTCTTTGCTTTAATGAAGCTCTTGTCCATGTAAAATGGAAAAACATTTACTCATTTATTTGATGATTGTGGGCTCCATCATAGCTTTCTGAACGTGA